GGCATTGACCTTCGATTACTCCTTTCTTTCAGGGTCCAATGTCTTGAACCTAAACATGAGATTTTCCGAAGTTCCAAGATTTGTTCCTGTGTTTCATATGCTACTACTGGCTTGCTACATATTGCCTTCCTGTCAAGAACTACCCAACCTTCCAAACTAGTTCGACAGAGGTACAAATCAGTGCTTTGCTCTCTCCACTACCTGCTGCAGTTGTAGCTTTTTGATTGGAAAAAAACTTGTGGGGAAGTTTTTCTTCTTTTTTCGAGCTTCGAAAGGTCTGTGTACTCATGAACCCTTTGACGACAGCGCGGANGAAAAAATAGGCCCACTCAATGAGATTAGAAACTCCAAGGAAATTAAAGAAAATGGAAATGTTAGAGTTCTTTGAAGAGAAGAACTATGTAGAAATAATAGAGCATCTAGTCTCATGTTATCTACATATGTATGTTGCAGTTTCAGTCCTCCATAACTTTTTTAGCCTTGCATTTCTCGGGCTAATCTTGCAGGGGTTCCTCTGAAATCATCAATTTCTAGGAAGACCCAAAAGCAGAGACGAAGTTTTTCTTCAAAATCTGGAGAAGTTAATAGCAGCTTTCTCCATAATAAACAACCTTTCTTTCTTTGAGTAGGGTCTCGATTCTCTTCGGCTGAGGCCGATCCTGCTACTACTCATGATGTACTCTAGACCTTCAGGCGAACTTCTTCAAAGGAAAGAATGGAAGGGCTGATTTGTATGAATGTTCGATAATTCCGACCTTTTTCTAACGTCCTCCTACTTGTGGGTCATAGAGATTGTCAGGAAAAACTTGGAGGTCTTATCAACGATGCGCTTTCCATGGAGTATCGTTTACAAAAATGATAGAAGGTGTTCACAGCACTCACGACTACCGCATAGGTCAAGATTGCATGAGAAAAACAGTAGTGGCAAAAAAACGGTATTCATAAGCAGTAGGGTAGCCTGAACTAAAAAGACGTAGTGGGCCATCTCTGCGGTAGCTATCCCTTGACATGCAAGTTAATGCGTTAACTTTTATATGTATGATATGCCCCCAGGAAAGCATTTTTTCAACCTGATCAAGGCATTGAACTATGCCTCTTAAATTCGCTCCCCTTTCCCTGATGTCAAAAGCAATGACAGATTGCACGTTTCACTGATATAGCGGTGACAGAAAGAGGTGATGTAGTGATAAGTGGCGCACCACCAAGCATTGCCCACAATCCGATCCCTACTGGGCAGGATAATTGGTACCAGATTTGTTCTAGGGGGATATACACTGACTTGTACACCAGATCACGAAGACGCATTCAAAACGTCACCACGATTCTGAATGGAAGTTGAATGTGGGACGCATCCCAGAAAAAGGATCAATTAACGTCGAGGCTTTATTCTGCTTATTATAGGCAAAGGTAGAAGGGGCAAAGTGACAGCCTCCATACCGATACCTAACAGTGTTCGAACAATGTTTCCATGCATCTGATGAAGGCCTACTAGTAAAATATTCTCTTGGGTTCGTGTATCGTTATGTGCAGGACGAATAGTTTTAATGGATTTTCCACTTAAAACCTTTCAAAGAATTACTCTCCTGCTCGCGTCTCCTCATTTGGCCTATTTACTTCGATTACGGTAAGATGGGGAGCGTCACAGTAAGGTTACGCTGAGGGTCAAGGTATTATCGAAGAATCGAAATGCTAAAAGGTGTTCTCGTGTTCTCGCACATTTGCCCCGAATGGCATTGACCTTCGATTACTCCTTTCTTTCAGGGTCCAATGTCTTGAATCCAAACATGAGATTTTTCGAACTTCTGAGATTTGGTTCTGTGTTTCATACGCAACTACTAGCTTGCTACGTATTTACCTTCCGTCAGGAACTGTTTACCCTTCCGACAGAGGTACAATAAGTTCAGGATTGTTCTCTCCACTACCTGCTGCAGTTGTAGCTTTTCCATTGGAAAA